ATCAGGAAAAGGGGGGTTAGCTTCCAAGGCAAACTGTTTATAAGGGTTTGAAATGGGAGTAGCCCAAATGTCAGCAGCCAATGATAATTTAAGTGGTGGGCAGCCAACCCGACCGTGGTTGGTTTTCCACCAATCAAAGGGCTGCCAGGTGGGCTTAAGGCCCCTGTATTTATACGACAATTTATATTACTGGAAAGTTCGAGAATGTTCTATAAGTTACTCCAAGTTTACTCAACACTGAATATATCTGGAATTCTCATTGAAAATAGGTGAATTTCTAAATATCACTGTCCTCTTCTTGGTTCTTTCGGTAAAGTCACGTAGAAGGGAAGTAATAAAATAATAAAAATAAAACATAATAAAATATTATGTTATTATATTTTTTTATTATGTTTTATTTTTATTATTTTATTACTTCCCTTCTACGTGACTTTACCGAAAGAACCAAGAAGATGAATCCCTGCAGTCACGAAAACTTTAACTCGAAATATCACTGTCCTGGTCACAAAAGCAAAGTTTTTGGGGAATAATATCCATTTTCTGTACTTTTGAGGCATAAGCAATTAGAAAATAATACTTACTACCCAGGGACAACATTTTTTTTGTTACATAGTGTGACAATCTGAACCGGTCCTGGGCCTCCCTTACCCACACAGCCACTCACCCACCCACCTAATCACTCACTGACTTTATTCACCCACCCACGCAACTGAATCACCCACTCTTACACCGACCAACCCACCCACACATTCACCCACCAACCCACCCACTCACTCCGCACCCACTCAATCACCCATCCACTCACTAACTCACCCATCCACTCACTAACTCACCCATCCATCCACCCACCCACCCACTCATCTACCACTTATCCACCCACCCACCCACACACTCACTCACCCACCACCCACAAACCCACCCACTTACCCATTCACCCCCCCCCTGCCCATTCACCGACCCACAAACTCACCCACCCACCTCGCACCCACCCACCACGCACCAACCCACTCACTCACTGACCCATTCACCCACCCACCCACCCATTCACCCACCCACTAACTCACCCACTCACCCACCACCCACTCACAACCCACCCACTCACCCACCCACTCACCACCCACCCACTCACCCACCACCCACTCACCACCCACCCACTCACCCATTCACTCACCCACCCACCCACTCACCCACCATCCACTGACCACCCACCCACTCACCATCCACCCACTTACCCACTCACCCATTCGCTCACCCACCTATTCACTCACCCACCACCCACTCACCCACCACCCACCCACTATAGATGTGCAGCCGTGCGCTCATCACGGGAGTAAATATCAACTCAATGCATCAATCAAGTCACTGCTGATCGAAATCTGCGGAAGCCGGTTGAAGGAAATCAAAATCCTTGGAATCCCGGCTCCGTGAATGTCAGCCACTAAAGCCGTGACCCAATGGAAGGGGAGCGGTGGTGCAGCGGTTAGCGCTGAACCACCGCTACGAATTCCCGGGACGGCGACCCGAGTTGGATTCCTGCGCTCATGGCCACCATCAGCGCCGTTGACGATTGTCTGGACCCGGTCCTGGGACTCCCTCCCCTAGGTAGACTCGGCCTGAAATGAGTACCCGGTGCAGTGGTGCTACTCGCTACTCACAGCCACTTGCCCCAACAGTCTGTTGACGCAATACGGGGGAGCTTTGTCTTTGTAGAGGGTGATAGGGTGGGTGGGTAAGTGAGTAAGGAGGTAAGTGAGTGGGTCAGTGGGTGAGTGGGTGGGTGAGTAAGTATGTGAGTGAGTGGGTGGGTGAGTAAGTAGGTGAGTGGGTTAGTGGGTGAGTGGGTGGGTGAGTAAGTAGGTGAATGAGTGGGTGAGTGGGTGGGTGAGTGATTGAGTAGCTGAGTGAGTGCAACTCGCTAACAGCAATTGCCCAAACAGTCTGTTACAAGCTATAAAGGGGATCTTTGTCTTTGTAGAGGATGAGTGAGTGGGTGGGTGAGTGTGTGGGTGAGTGAGCGAGTAGGTGGGTGAGCGAGTGGGTGAGTGAGTCAGTGGGTGAGCGAGTGGGTGAATGAGTGGGTGGGTGAGTGAGTAGGTAGGTAAGCGAGTGGGTGAGTGAGTCAGTGGGTGAGCGAGTGGGTGAGTATGTGGGTGAGTGAGCGAGTAGGTGGGTGTGCGAGTGGGTGAGTGAGTCAGTGGGTGAGCGAATGGGTGAGTGAGTGGGTGGGTGAGTGTGTGGGTGTGTGAGCGAGTAGGTGAGTGAGCGAGTGGATGAGTGAGTCAGTGGGTGAGCGAGTGGGTGAGTGAGTGGGCGGGTGGGTGAGTGTGTGGGTGAGTGAGCGAGTAGGTGGGTGAGCGAGTGGGTGAGTGTGTCAGTGGGTGAGCGAGTGGGTGAGTGAGTCAGTGGGTGAGCGAGTGGGTGGGTGAGTGTGTGCGTGAGTGAGCATGGAGGTGGGTGAGCGAGTTGGTGAGCGAGTGGGTGAGTGAGTCAGTGGGTGAGCGAGTGGGTGAGTGTGTGGGTGAGTGAGCAAGTAGGTGAGTGAGCGAGTGGGTGAGTGAGTCAGTGGGTGAGCGAGTGGGTGAGTGAGTGGGTGGGTGAGTGTGTGGGTGAGTGAGCGAGTAGGTGGGTGAGCGAGTGGGTGAGCGGGTGAGTGGGTGAGTGAGTGAGTGGGTGAGTGAGTGGGTGAGTGAGCGAGTAGGTGAGTGAGCGAGTGGGTGGGTGGGTGGGTGGGTGAGTGTGTGGGTGAGTGAGCGAGTAGGTGGGTGAGCGAGTGGGTGAGTGTGTCAGTGGGTGAGCGAGTGGGTGAGTGAGTCAGTGGGTGAGCGAGTGGGTGAGTGTGTTGGTGAGTGAGCAAGTAGGTGAGTGAGCGAGTAGGTGAGGGAGTCAGTGGGTGAGCGAGTGGGTGAGTGAGTGGGTGGGTGAGTGGGTGGGTGAGTGTGTGGGTGAGTGAGCGAGTAGGTGGGTGAGCGAGTGAGCGAGTGGGTGAGTGGGTGAGTGAGTGAGTGGGTGAGTGGGTGGGTGGGTGAGCGAGTGGGTGAGTGAGTGGGCGGGTGGGTGAGTGTGTGGGTGAGTGAGCGAGTAGGTGGGTGAGCGAGTGGGTGAGTGTGTCAGTGGGTGAGCGAGTGGGTGAGTGAGTCAGTGGGTGAGCGAGTGGGTGAGTGTGTGGGTGAGTGAGCAAGTAGGTGAGTGAGCGAGTGGGTGAGTGAGTCAGTGGGTGAGCGAGTGGGTGAGTGAGTGGGTGGGTGAGTGTGTGGGTGAGTGAGCGAGTAGGTGAGGGAGTCAGTGGGTGAGCGAGTGGGTGAATGAGTGGGTGGGTGGGTGAGTGGGTGGGTGAGTGTGTGGGTGAGTGAGCGAGTGGATGAGTGATCGAGTGAGCGAGTGGGTGAGTGGGTGAGTGAGTGAGTGGGTGAGTGGGTGGGTGGGTGAGCGAGTGGGTGAGTGAGTGGGCGGGTGGGTGAGTGTGTGGGTGAGTGAGCGAGTAGGTGGGTGAGCGAGTGGGTGAGTGTGTCAGTGGGTGAGCGAGTGGGTGAGTGAGTCAGTGGGTGAGCGAGTGGGTGAGTGTGTGGGTGAGTGAGCAAGTAGGTGAGTGAGCGAGTGGGTGAGTGAGTGAGTGGGTGAGCGAGTGGGTGAGTGAGTGGGTGGGTGAGTGTGTGGGTGAGTGAGCGAGTAGGTGGGTGAGCGAGTGGGTGAGCGGGTGAGTGGGTGAGTGAGTGAGTGGGTGAGTGAGTGGGTGAGTGAGCGAGTAGGTGAGTGAGCGAGTGGGTGAGTGGTGGGTGGGTGGGTGAGTGTGTGGGTGAGTGAGCGAGTAGGTGGGTGAGCGAGTGGGTGAGTGTGTCAGTGGGTGAGCGAGTGGGTGAGTGAGTCAGTGGGTGAGCGAGTGGGTGAGTGTGTTGGTGAGTGAGCAAGTAGGTGAGTGAGCGAGTAGGTGAGGGAGTCAGTGGGTGAGCGAGTGGGTGAATGAGTGGGTGGGTGAGTGGGTGGGTGAGTGTGTGGGTGAGTGAGCGAGTAGGTGGGTGAGCGAGTGAGCGAGTGGGTGAGTGGGTGAGTGAGTGAGTGGGTGAGTGAGTGGGTGGGTGAGTGAGATGAATGGGTGAGTGCTGCTCGATACTAACAGCACTTGCCCCAACAGTCTGTTGAAGGCTACACGGGGCGCTTTGCCTGTGTGATTATGTGAGAGTGTTACTTTCATGGAGTGTGATAGGGCAGTCATCGTGCTGAAGAGGCTATCAAACGCAACCTTCAGAGGCGCGTCCACACTCACAACACAGAGCTGCCCCGGGTAGTCCACGTGGGCTGTTGGGGCAAGTGCCGGTGTGTGTCTGTGTGTGTCTCTGTGTGGTGTGTGTCTGTGTGTGTGTCTGTGTGGTGTGTGTCTGTGTGTGTCCGTGTGTGGTTTGTGTCTGTGTGTGTCTCTGTGTGGTGTGTGTCCGTGTGTGTGTTACTGTGTGTGTCCGTGTGTGTCCGTGTGTGTGTTACTGTGTGTGTGTGGGGAGCGGTGGTGCATCGGTTAGCGCTACGCTGCGCTATGAACCCGGCGACACGGGATTGATTCCAGCTCACGGCCAACACCACCAGTGACGATTATTTAAACCAGTTCCGGGCCTCTCCTAGGTCGACTCAGCCTCCAAATTAGTACCTGGTGCGGTGTGTAAACGTTGCCACTAGGGAGACAAAGGCTGCTGGGCGCGGTGCTGGCCACTCGCCCCCTCGTGTGCCGTGCCGGCCTTCATAGGTGCCCGCTAACAGCACTTGCCCCAACAGTCTGTTAAGGCTATACGGGGGACCTTTCTCTTGACTTTGTGTGTGTGTGTGTGTCCCTGTGTGTGTGTCCGTGTGTGTGTCCGTGTGTGTGTCCGTCTGATGTGTGTGTGTGTGTTTGTTCGTGTGTGTTTGTCCGTGTGTGTGTGTGTCCGTGTGCCGTGTGTGTGTGTCCGTGTGTGTGTGTCCGTGTGTGTGTGTCCGTGTGTGTGTGCCGTGTGTGTGTGTCCGTGTGTCCTCAGCCATCACGAACGTGCGCCTCTGGGCAATCGACCGCCAATGCTTCCAGACGATCATGATGAGGACTGGCCTCATCAAGCAGGCCGAGTACATGGACTTCCTGAAGAGGTGTGCCTCTCTGTGTGTCTCTGTGTCTCTGTGTGTCTCTCTGAGTGTCTCTGCGTGTCTCTGTGAGTGTCTCTGCGTGTCTCTCCGTGTGTCTCTGTGTGTGTCTCTGTGTGTGTCTCTCTCTGTGTGTCTCTGTGGGTGTCTCTCTGTGTGTCTCTCTCTGTGTGTCTCTCTCTGTGTGTCTCTCTGTGTCTCTGTGTGTGTCTCTGTGTGTCTCTGTGTGTCTCTCTGTGTGTGTCTCTGCGTGTCTCTCTGTGTGTCTCTCTGAGTGTGTCTCTCTGTGTGTCTCTCTCTGTGTGTCTCTCTCTGGGTGTCTCTCTCTGTGTGTGTCTCTGTGTGTGTCTCTGTGTGTCGCTCTGTGTGTGTCTCTGTGTGTCTCTCTGTGTGTCGCTCTGTGTGTGTCTCTGTGTGTCTCTGTGTGTGTCTCTGTGTGTGTCTCTCTGTGTGTCTCTGTGTGTGTCTCTCTGTGTGTCTCTGTGTGTGTCTCTGTGTGTGTGTCTCTGTGTGTGTCTCTGTGTGTGTCTCTGTGTGTCTCTGTGTGTGTCTGTGTGTGTCTCTGTGTGTGTCTCTGTGTGTCTCTGTGTGTCTCTCTGTGTGTGTCTCTGTGTGTGTCTCTGTGTGTCTCTCTGTGTGTGTCTCTCTGTGTGTCTCTGTGTGTGTCTCTGTGTGTCTCTGTGTGTGTCGCTGTGTGTGTCTCTCTGTGTGTCTCTGTGTGTGTCTCTGTGTGTGTCTCTCTGTGTGTCTCTGTGTGTGTCTCTGTGTGTCGCTGTGTGTGTCTCTCTGTGTGTCTCTGTGTGTGTCTCTGTGTGTCTCTGTGTGTGTCTCTCTGTGTGTCTCTGTGTGTGTCTGTGTGTGTCTCTGTGTGTCCCTGTGTGTGTCTCTGTGTGTGTCTCTGTGTGTCTCTGTGTGTCTCTCTGTGTGTGTCTCTGTGTGTGTCTCTGTGTGTCTCTCTGTGTGTGTCTCTGTGTGTCTCTCTGTGTGTGTCTCTCTGTGTGTCTCTGTGTGTGTCTCTGTGTGTCGCTGTGTGTGTCTCTCTGTGTGTCTCTGTGTGTGTCTCTGTGTGTCTCTGTGTGTGTCTCTCTGTGTGTCTCTGTGTGTGTCTTTGTGTGTCTCTGTGTGTCCCTGTGTGTGTCCCTGTGTGTCTCTGTGTGTGTCTCTGTGTGTGTCTCTGTGTGTGTCTCTGTGTGTCGCTCTGTGTGTGTCTCTGTGTGTCTCTCTGTGTGTGTCTCTGTGTGTCTCTGTGTGTGTCTCTCTGTGTGTCTCTGTGTGTGTCTCTGTGTGTCTCTCTGTGTGTCTCTGTGTGTCTCTGTGTCTCTCTGTGTGTGTCTCTCTCTGTGTGTCTCTGTGTGTCTCTCTATGTGTGTGTCTCTGTGGGTGTCTCTCTGTGTGTGTCTCTCTGCGTGTTTTTCTGTGTCTCTCTCTGTGTGTCTCTCTTTGTGTGTGTCTCTCTGTGTGTGTCTCTGTGTGTGTCTCTCTCTGTGTCTCTGTGGGTCTCTGTGTGTGTCTCTCTCTGCGTGTCTCTCTGTGTGTGTCTCTGCATGTCTCTCTCTGTGTCTCTCTGGGTGTCTCTCTGTGTGTCTCTCTGTGTGTCTCTATGTGTGTCTCTCTCTGTGTGTCTTTCTGTGTCTCTCTGTGTCTCTCTCTGGGTGTCCCGGTGGCTAGGAGATTGTATCTTCCTCGCCAGATATGCAGGATGGTCGTTGGTTTGATCTGGACCCTGACGCCTTCTGCTATATATTCGGAGTTGGCGTCTCTCTCCCCGTGGTCACTGCGTGGATGTCTACTCCATATTCAGAAACATGCCCTTGGATTATTTGGCCGCTGCTATAAATTGATGACCATTGGCCACTTCATTTAGCTGCGATCATTTGTGACATTCAGACCCCGGAGGAATAAAATCCACGCAGTGGCAACGACGCGGGGAGAGAGAAACGCAAACTCCAAATATACAGCAGTACTCTTTGGTTCTTTCGGTAAAGTCACGTAGGTATGAAATAAATCACGACGTTTCGGGTGCAACACAAGCATCCGTCATCAGGTGAGAAAGCATGGCCTGCTACTGAGGCAGACTGGTTTTTTTTTTCCATAGGCCTTCATGTCGCGAGAGACAATTCCTTTGCGCCTTACGAGGTCAGCTGTAGGTTTTGCAGCGCCTATAATGACTTAGTAGGCCAACCCTTGAGTGGCAATCCTTGCCACAGCAATTGCAAGTGAATGCGGTGGCAGCTCCAGAGGTGTTTGCTGCTTTTTCTTTACGTCGCTTCCTCTTGGTCTGCCAAGCGGTGTGTCTTTCCTCCTCGCCTCTCCTGAGGCCTGTTTTCACAGCTTGCTGCCAGCTGAGTCAGTCGCCGGCAGTTTTCTCCCAGTCATTTGGGTTGATGTCGCAGCTCTTCATGTCCCGTTTACGGACGTCTTTGAAGCGCAGGACTGGGCGACCAGTGACCCGTGTGCCTGATGCCAGCTCGCCGTACAAGACATCCTTGGGTATTCTGCCATCCTGCATGCGGCGCACGTGTCCAAGCCATCTCAGGCGCCTATGTCTGAGTAGAAAGTACATGCTGGGAATGTTGGCCAAGTTGAGGACTGAGGTGTAGGGAATGCGATCTTGCCATCTGATACCGAGGATGCGCCTGAGACATCGGAGGTGGAATGTGTTTAGTCGATGTTCTTGATGGGCGTATGTTGTCCAGGACTCAGACCCATAGAGGAGGGTGCTAAGGACGCAGGCCCGATACACCTGTACTTTGGTGTTGAGCGTTAGGGATTTGTTCTCCCACACTCTTTTGGTCAACCTGAACATAGCTGTGGACACCTTCCCAATGCGCTTGTCAATCTCTGTGTCAAGGGACAAATTGCAGGTGATGGTGGAACCCAAGTAGGTGAAGTCCTGAACGACTTCCAGAGTGTAGCTGCAAATGTTTATGGAAGGGGTGTCTCTGACATCCTGGCCCATGACATTGGTCTTTTTCAGACTGATTGTCAGGCCAAAGTTGTTGCAGGCATTGGCAAGGTGGTCGATGAGTGTCTGCAGACCTTGTTCTGTGTGAGCTGTCAACGCGGCATCACCAGCGAATAGGAGTTCTCTGATGAGGGCTTTGCGGACATTGGTTTTGGATCTGAGACGGCCAAGATTGAAGAGTTTGCCATCAGATCTTGTATGGAGAAAGACTCCCTCTTTTGCTGTCCCAAAGACATGTGTGAGCATAAGTGAAACAAAAGATGCCAAACAGTGTTGGGGCAAGCACGCTGCCCTGCTTTACACCGCTGAGTATGGGAAATTCCTCTGAGGTGGTGCCGCTGTGCTGTGTTGTTCCTTTCATGTTGTCATGGAAAGAGGAGATGACTGCCAGCAGCTTCGGTGGGCAGCCGATCACTTTGAAGAAGTTTGAAGAGGCCTTCCCTACTGATGAGGTCAAAGGCTTTTGTAAGATCAATGAATGCCAAGTACAGGGGCATTCTCTGTTCTCGGCATTTCTTCTGTAGCTGACACAAGGAGAAGAGCATGTCAATTGTGGACCTTCCTGTTCTGAAGCCACACTGAGCCTCAGGATATTTCCTCTCAGCTAGTATCTGTAACCTGCTGAGGACCACACGGGCAAAGGTTTTCCCCACGATGCTCAGCAGGGAGATGCCACGGTAGTTATTGCAGTCTCCACGGTCACCCTTGTTTATATATAGGGTGATGATGTTGGCATCTCTCATGTCTTGAGGCATTGCTCCTTCTTCCCAGCACTGGCAGATAAGTTCATGGAGTTTTGTGAGGACGGCGGGTTTCGCACATTTCAGTACCTCAGGTGTGATGCCGTTCTGTCCCGGGGACTTGCCACTGGCTCGTGAGTTGGTGGCGTTGTCCTGTTCCTTCAAGGTTGGAACATTGTCCAGTTCGTGTATCGTTAGTAAGGGCTTTACAGCAGCAAGGGCAGCTTCTGACACACCGTTGTCTCGTGAGTAGAGCTCTGAGTAGTGTTCTACCCACCTGGCCATTTGCTCTTGTTTATCAGTGATGATGGCCCCTGTGCTGGATTTAAGGGGGGCAATCCTTCTAATGTTTGGACCAAAGGCTGTCTTGATGCCTTCATACATGGCACGGATATTGCCAGTGTCAGAGGCGAGTTGGATCCTACTGCTGAGGTTCACCTAGTAGTTGTTGACGCAGCGTCTGGTGGTTGTTTGAGCTGCACTGCGGGCAGCTTTCAAAGCCCTTAATGATCCTGTACTTGGGACCTGCTTGTACTTCAGGAGCGCCATGCGCTTGGCTTGGAGGATGGGTTCCAATATAGCCAGGTGTTCCTCAAACCAGTCTGTGTTCCGCCTTGTCTGCTTACCGAAGATATTGATGGCTGCATTGAAGATGGCGTCTCTGATGTATGCCGACTTTGTCTCCATGCTTCCATCTGGTGTGTCGTATAGGGACTGCTCAAGGCTGTGTTGGAATGATTGAGTGAGCTCTGGGGGGGAGGTCTTGGCAGAGTTGATACGTAGGTAGCGCTTTTGTTTGAGGTTGCATATCTTTTTGGGCATAGTCTGACCTTGCTGGATACCAGCGAGTGATCGGTGTCACAGACTGCTCTGTGGTAGCTGCGTGTGATGAGTACTGAGTTGAGGAGCGGCTCGTCGGGTGATGACGAGGTCCAGTTTGTGCCAATTAAGAGACCTTGGGTGTCTCCATGATACTTTATGGCATGGTTTAGTGAGTTTGTGATACAGAGATTGTTGTATGAACAAAGCTCCAGTAGTCTTTGGCCACTGGCATTCATCTTTCCGATGCCATGATAGCCAAGGCATGCGGACCACGCGTCGTGGTCAGCCCCAACCCTTGCATTGAAGTCTCCCAACAGAAGAAACATGTGCTCAGAGCTGGGGATTTTGCGAATAATATTGTGAAGCTCTTCATAGAACTGGTCATGAATCTCCGGAGGTGAGTCGAGTGTTGGGGCGTAGACAATCAGGATGTTTACATGGCCAGAAGCAGTGAGCAGTCTCATGAGCAGAATCCGCTCGGAGCCTGCGGTTGGTGGTTCCATCATGCCAAGGAGTGTGTTTTTGACGGCGAACCCAACACCGTGTTGCCTTGGTTCGTTCTGCTGTTTACCTTGCCAGTAGAAAGTGTAATACCGTGATAACAACCTTTTAAAACAGTCTGCCTCAGCAGCAGACCATGCTTTCCCACCTAATGATGAACGATTGTGTTGCTCCCATAACGTCGTGATATATTTTATTTTATACCTACGTGACTTTAACGAAAGAACAAAAGAGTATAGATTCCTGCAGTCACGAAAGCTTCAAATAAAGATTATACAGCAGTAGTGGACATCGTCAGGTTCGGCATCAAACGTATGATCTTCTGCTTTCCAGGCGAGTGAGTTAACATCTCCTAAGGCTATACGGGAGATTTGCATATTTGATGTTTGTTCATGTTTGTGTTTGTTTGTGTTTGTTTGTTTGTTGTGTGGGTCAGTGTGCCATCCTTTCAGAATCTGGCAGAGGAGGTGATCAGCAAGCTGGCTGATGTTATTGAGGAGGTGAAACATCAAACACTCACTCACTCGCACACGACACACACACAGACTCATACAGACTCACACACACACCCACAGACTCACACAGAGACACACAGACTCACACAGACACCCATAGACTCAAACATAGACCGACAGGCTCACACAAAGACCCACAGACTCACACGGAGACCCACACAGACTCACACGGAGACCCACACCGACTCACACAGAGACCCGCACACTCACAGAGAGACCCACACGGAGACCCACACAGACCCAGACTCACACAAAGACCCACACTGACTCACACAGAGACCCACAAACTCACACAGAGACCCACACAGACTCACACAGAGACCCACAGACTCACACAGAGACTCGCGGACTCACACAGGAACCCACACAGACTCACACAGAGACCCACAGACTCACACAGAGACCCACAGACACCCAGACCCATAGAGACTCACAGAGACCCACAGACTCACTTGAGGCTGAGTCGACCCAGTATAGACATTCAAACACAAAAAACAACTTTCACCACTAAGTGGCGGTGACGTCACCAATGGCACTTTATGCCAGGCTCGGTAGGGGGCCCAGGTGGTGCATCGGCCACTCATCTCAGTCAGTCGACCCGTGGCACCTGGGTCTGCCCCGTGACCTCCTGCCAGCGGGCGTTTGACACTTCACGTGGCCTCAACGTCCAGATGGCAGTTGTTGATGATGGTGGAGGTGGTGCCGTTGGTAGCTGTGGTGAAGGTCGAGGAAGCGGTGGTGATGGTCGTGTCCGTGTGTCCTCTCTGTCTCGGGGAGCGGTGGTGTAGCGGTGAGCAATACGCTGCACTACGAACCTAGTGACCCGAGTTCGATTCTCGCTCATGGTCAACATCAGTGACGATTATTTGAACCGGTCCTGGGCCTCTCCTAGGTCAACACAGCCTCAAATGAGGACCTGGTGTGCGGTGTGTAAATAGTCTGTTACAGGCTACACGTGGGATTTTTGTCTTTGTCTCTCCCACAGATGCACTATGATGCCGGAGACTACATCATCAGGCAAGGGGCGAGTGGAGACACCTTCTTCATCATCAGCAAAGGGCAGGTAACCTGGCTCACGATGGCCGTGTGGGTGAGGTTCACGATGGCCGTGTGGATGGGGTTCACGATGGCCCTGTTGGTGGGTTCATGATGGCCATGTCGGTGGGGTTGACAAATGCCGTGTGGGTGGGTGGGCTCACAATGGCCGTCTGGGTGGGTGGGTTCACGATGGCTGTGTCGGTGGTTCAAGATGGCCGTGTGGGTGTGGTTTACGATGGCCGTGTCAGCGTGGATCACGATGGCCGTGTCAGTGAGAGTTCACAATGGCCGTGTCGGTGGGTGAATTCTCAATGGTCATGTCAGTGAGGTTCATGATGGCCATGTCGGTGGGGTTGACAAATGCCGTGTGGGTGGGTGGGCTCACAATGGCCGTCTGGGTGGGTGGGTTCACGATGGCTGTGTCGGTGGTTCAAGATGGCCGTGTGGGTGGGGTTTACGATGGCCGTGTCAGCGTGGATCACGATGGCTATGTCAGTGGGGTTCACGATGGCCGTGTCGGTGGGTGAATTCTCAATGGCCGTGTCGGTAGTTTCTGGATGCAGTGATGATGTTGCTGTTGACAATGTTGCTGATGATGATTTTGCTGGCCAGGTGAATGTAACGAGACAGGCCGAGGGGGTGAGTGACGAGCCTGAGCTTCTGAGGTCCCTGGGAAGGGGAGACTGGTTCGGAGAGATGGCGTTACAGGGGTCAGTTACTCACCCACACACTCACCCACCCACTCACCCACCCACTCACTCAACCACCAATCCATTAATCCACTTACTCAACCACTAACTCAACCACCCACCCACTCACTCAACAGACTGTAGGGGCAAGTGCTGTTAGCGAGCATCTCTAAAGGCCAGCACGGCACGCGAGGGGGTGGGCGGCCAACACCACGCCTGGCCGTCTTTGTCTCCCCAGTGGCGATGTTTACACATCACACCAGGTACTCATTTGAGGCTGAGTCGACCTAGGGGAGGCCCAGGATCGGTTCAGATAATCGTCACTGGTGTTGCCCGTGAGCGAGAATCGAACCCGGGTCGCCGGGTTCGTAGCGCAGCGCGCTAACCGCTATACGACCGCTCCTACTCACTCATACACAGTCATACACACTCACCCAACCACTCATGCAGACATTCACCCACTTACTCACCCACTTACTCACTCAACCACTCACTAACTCACCCACATACTCACTCACCCACCCTCCCATTCATTCACTCACACCCCCTTCCACTCACTCACCCACTCATTCACTCACCCACCCACTTACCCACCCTATCACACACTCATGCATATTCTGCTGTTGCTCATAATGGTAATGATGATGGTAATGATGATAATAATGATGATAATGATGGTGGTAATGATGTTAATTATCATAGTGATGATGGTAATGATGTTGATGATAATGATGATGATAATAATGATGACGGTTATGATGGTGGTAATGATGATGGTAAGTATTATGGTAATAGGAATGATGTTGATGATGGTAATGATAAACCTAATGATGATAATAATGATGATGATAATAATGATAATGATTATGATGGCCATGATGATCGCCATAATGGTGATAATGGTAATAATGATGATAGTCATGGTGATAATGATGATGGCAACGATGTTGATGGTCATGGTGATAATGATGATGACGAGCCTCTATTGCCACGTGTGTGTTCCTGCCCACAGGGAGGACGTGAGGACAGCCAACGTGATCGCAGTGGAGTCAGTCACGTGCCTGGTCATCGACAGAGAGTGAGTGAGTGGGTGCAGCGGTGGCTATGAGATTTTAACTCTCTCGCTTTGTCTGTAGGAGGTTCGTGGGTTCGATCCTGGACCCTGCGAGATGTTAACTCCCTCGCCTGGTCTGTAGGAGGTTTGTGGGTTCGATCCCGGACCCTGCGAGATGTTAACTCCCTCGCCTGGAAACCAGGAGGTCATCGGTTCAATCTCGACCCTGATGATGCCTGCTGCTATATATTTAGAGTCTGTGTCTCTCTCCCTCTCATCATATTCACGGTGGCTAGGAGATGTTAACTACCTCGCCTGGTATGCAAGAGGTCGTGGGTTCGATCCCGACCCTGCGAGATGTTAACTCTCTTGCTTGGTCTGCAGGAGGTTCGTGGGTTCGATCCCGGACCCTGCGAGATGTTAACGCCCTCGCCTGGAAACCAGAAGGTCATCGGTTCAATCTCGACCCTGACGATGCCTGCTGCTGTATATTTTGAGTCTGCATCTCTTTCTCTCCCCATGGTGGTCGCGTGGATTTGTCTCCGGGTCCACCAGTTTTCCCCCCTCCACATTTAGAAGCAACGTCGCACGTTTATAGTGATTTGGCTGCTGCTATACATTTCCACGTGATGACGATATCAGCCACTTCCGTTGAGTTATCGTTTGTGGTGATCATGTCGCTTCTTAAAAAAAAATACATAGCTAAGTGGGCCTTATACCTGGTAACATTAAAAAAAATAGTTGAGTTTTACTATGGGTCTCTATGAGTATGGGTCTCTATGAGTATGGGTGTCTGCGCGTCGCTGTGGGTTTCTATGGGTCTCTGTGGGTTTCTATGGGTATATATGGCTCTCTGGATCTCTGTGGGTCTCTATGAGTATGGGTCTCTATGAGTATGGGTCTCTATGAGTATGGGTCTCTGCGTTTCTCTGTGGGTTTCTATGGGTCTCTGTGGGTTTATATTGTTTTATATGGCATGGGTCTCTATGAGTATGGGTCTGTTCGCGTCTCTGTGGGTTTCTATGGGTCTATATGGCTCTCTGGATCTCTGTGGGTCTCTATGAGTATGGGTTTCTATGAGTATGGGCCTCTATGAGTATTAAGGTCACGCGATTTAGAATATTTGACTGCTGCTCTGAACGTCCACGTGATGCTGTCACCCAATTCGTTGAGCTGCTATCATTTGTGATGACCAGGTCGCTTCTGATAAAAGAGATGCGTAGCTCAGTTTGGGCTTTGCCCGGTAAATTAAAAAATAAAATAGTTTAGTTTAGAGCGTAGGGAGACAAAGGTGGCTGGGCGGGGGGGGGGGGGGGGGGAGGTTGCATGTTGGTTCAGACCACCCCACCACCACCACCACTACAATCTATTGACTACTCGCCAACAGCACTGGACCCAGACAGCCTGCGTGGGCTACACGGGGGAGCTGTACCTGCTTCTGTGCATGATCTGTCTGCTTTGTGAGGGGGGCAGATGTGGGGCAGATGTGGAACAGAGTGGCTCATGATGGCCTGAGGGTGTGAGGAGAGAGGGGGGGGGAGAGAAGGGGGGAGAGAGTGGGGAGAGAGGGGGGGGGGAGAGTGGAGAGAGAGGGGGGGGAGAGAGAAGGGGGAGGGGAGAGTGGGGAGAGAGAGGAGGTGGGAGAGAGAAAGGGAAAGTTGGGAGAGAGAGGGGGGGGAAGAGAGAAGGGGGGGGGGGGAGAGTGGGGAGAGAGGGGGGGGAGAGAGAAAGGGAGAGTGGGGAGAAAGGGGGGGGGGGAGTGTGGAGAAAGAGGGGGGGGGGAGAGAAGGGGGGGGGGAGTGGGGAGAGAGAGGGGGGGAGAGGGAGAGTGGGGAGAGAGAGTGGGGGGAAGAGAGAAGGAGGGGAGGGTGGGGAGATAGAGGGGGGGAGAGAGAAGGGGGGGGGGGAGAGTGGGGAGAGAGGGGGGAGAGAGAGGGGGGATGGGGGGGAGAGATGGGAGGAGAGTGGGTAGAGAGGGTGGGGAGAGAGAGGGGGGGGAGAGTTGGGAGAGAGAGGGGGGGGAGAGAGAGGTGGGGGGGGGGAGAGAGGGGGGGGGCAGTGGGGAGGGGGGAGAGTGGGTAGAGAGGGTGGGGAGAGAGAGGGGGGGGAGAGTTGGGAGAGAGGGGGGGAGAGAGAGGGGGGGGGGGAGAGAGAGGTGGGGGGGGAGAGAGAGGGGGGGGGGGAGTGGGGAGGGGGGAGAGTGGGGAGAGAGGGGGGGGGAGAGAGAAGGGGGGGGGAAGAGTGGGGAGAGAGGGGGGGGGAGAGAGGGGGGGGGGAGAGTGGTGAGAGAGGGGGGGGGGAGACACTGACTGCTGTGTGTGTGTGTCTCTGTCTGTGTACGTCTGCGGACAAAGACAAAGATCCCCCGTGTAGCCTGTAACAGACTGTTGGGGCAAGTGGCTGTTAGTAGCGAGTAGCAGCGCCTATGAAGGCTACCGGCACCGTGGCACACGAGGGTTGGGGGTGGCCAGCACCACGCCCGGCCGCTTTTGTCTCCCCAGTGCCGATGTTCTTTACACACCACCGCACCAGGTAGTCAATTGAGGCTGAGTCGACCTAGGGGAGGCCCAGGACCGGTTCAGGTAATGACCACCAGGCGTTGGTGGTGGCCGTGAGCAGGAATCGAACTTGGGTCTCAGCCGGGTTTGTAGCGCAGCGTCGCGCTGACCGCTGCACCACCGCTCCCCACTATCTTTGTGCGTGTCTGTGTGTTTGTGTCAGCTACACACAGACTCGTGTAGCGGTTAGTGCGCTGCGCTACGAACCCGGCGATCCAGGTTCGATTCCAGCTCACGGCCAAAAACCAGTAACGATTATCTGAACCGGTCATGGGCCTCCCCTAGGTCGACTCAGCCTCAAATGAGTCCCTGGTACGGTGTGCAAACAAAGATGGCCGAGCTGGTAACGGTCATCAGCAAGTCCAATTAGCTCCACATCCTCTTGTACCTCATCACTCCATGTCTTCTCTCGCCCGTGCCGTGCCCGTTTAGACCCCTCTGTCCGGCCGAACAAAAGCTGTTTAGGCATGCGGTGGCTGGGCGTGCGGGTTAGATGACTCAGTCAACGCAAGCCTTGTCTGCCCAAGGAGGCTGATGATGGGATTGTGTCTAGATCTTTCAAGGATCTGAGCTTCTCACACAATCCAACCTGGAAGTTCACTCCATAGGCAGGGCCAGTCTGAATGTTTCATTTCGGCGCAGATTTTCTGTCAAACAGGCTCCATGGTTCGCATAGGGAAGGGAGGGCATGACTGTGCCTGAGAATACCTGACGCTTCAATCACTAATCACTCACCCACTCACCCACCCACTCATTCACCCACCCGCTCACCCACCCACCCACCCACTCACTTACCCACTCACTCACCCACCCACTCACTCACCCACTCACCCACTCACCCACCCACCCTCTCACTCACCCACACACTTACCCACTCACTCACCCACCCACTCACTCACCCACTCACCCACCCACTCACTCACCCACACACTCACCTACTCACTTACCCACTCACTCACCCACTCACTCACCCACCCACCCACTCATCCACCGACCCACTCACCCACGCAGCCACCCACCCACTCACTAACTCACCCCCACCACCCTTCTTTTTGTCTCTCTGTGTCTCGACATCAGGTCGTTTAAACATCTGATCGGGGGCATCGAGGACATGTCCACCAAATGCTGCGAGGACACGGACTCCAAAGCGACGTGAGTCCCTAGCTTTCGCAGTGTCACATAATCACACAGTCGTACAATCACACACAGAGACTCACACAAAGACTCATACAAGCCCATACAGAGACTAACACAGACTCACACACAGACTCACACGGAGGCACAAACAGAGACTCGCACAGACCTATACAGAGACTCACACAGACTCACACAGACCCACAAAGAGACTCACACAGACTCACATAGACATACAACTTTTCATAGAGACAAAGACAGAGACTCACACAGAGACTCACATAGACACTAACACAGATTCACACAAACATACAACCTCAAGTAGAAACACACACACAGAGACTCACACATAGACACACACACAGACTCACAGAGACACACAGAGACGCACACACTGAGACTCACCCAGAGACTCACACAGAGACACACAAAGCGACACACGCATAAATTCACACAGATAGCCACAGATTCACACAGACATACCAATAACAGGCATTCACATCATCACTATATAGTCCAGCAGATGCTCTTGTATGGACCCGGCGTGCATCCATGATATCCATGATGCTTTGTGGATGCGCCGATGCCGGAACAGCGTGTTGATAATTACGAGCCCATGAGCTGCACAGAAGACTAGCAGCCTCCTACCGTTGTTATTCAGTTGATCTGACCCACATCTACCGATCACTCCAACTCAGGCATCATAACTCACTCAGGCATTAAAGTCACCCAACAGGATGATTCTATCCAGAGGGAACACTGACACACATATGACAGGAAGTCATAGAAGGTCATCTGACTCATCGGCCTTGGCTGCATCCCTCTACTGATTTTCATCTTCGGTGGAGGCATAAGCAACCACGACCACCACTCCTCGCCTCTTGTTGATGGGGAGATGAGCCCCAAGTAGCCTGGGGCTTACAGCTTTCCACACCTCACCGCCACGCTCCCACACCCCCCTCATTATTTTGTTCAAAAGAAGAGCCACTCCCTTTTGTTTGTCAGTTTTCTGCCTCGATTGGAGAACTGTCCACCTCTCATATTAGCTGAAGCCAGAACCGGTCCACCGGACCTCCTGTATTCCACAGAGGTCCAGGCAGTACCGGTCCAGCTCCCGACAGAGGAGGGGCAGCCTCTCCTCTGCAACGAGATTCTGAGCATTCAACGTGGCCAATCGCAGTGTTCTCCTGTTTCTGGAGGAACCCTGAAAGGCTGGGTTCAGTCTCCTGGCTCTGCCAGATGGGGTTTGGCCAGAAGGCGTGATGAGGGCCTGTCCCCCTGGGCTCTAGCACGAGCTTATTTCGGTGTTTCCACCGTGGTGTTTGGTCGACAAAGTGCCGGGTGGAGAGTTTAGCGGCCCCTCGCACGCAGAGACGCACATGCTCACAAAGAGGGTCACAGATTCACACAGCCATACAACCTCACATACTGGAGAGACACACTCGCGCGGAGACTCATACGGAGACTCACACGGAGAGTGGGTAAGTGGGTGATTGAGTGAGTGAGTCCATGAGTGAGAACGTAGGTACAGGAGCAGGTGAATGGGTGAGTGCCTTAGAGGGCAACTGAATGGGTGAATGCTACTGACAGCTAACAGCACTTGCCCCTACAGTCTAGTTAAGGCTACACGGGATGGGGGGGGTTCTTTGTCTTTATCTGTAGGTGTGATAGAGGCCCGAGTGAAATTAAATTAATCCTTTCGGTATATCTATGCATATACGCATTCACCCACCGACTCACCCACCCACTCACCCACCTACTCACTCACCCACTCACTGACCCTCTCACCCACCCACGCACCCACCTACTCACTCACCCACTCACTGACCCTCTCACCCGCCCGCTCACCAACTCACCCACCCACTCACCCACTCGCTCATTCACCCACCCACTCACAAACCCAACCCACCCACTCACCCACTCACCCACACACCCACTCACTCACTCACCCACTCACTCACCCACCCACCCACTCACTCACCTACTCACCCACTCACCCTCTCACCCATCCACTCAGCTCGGAGGTGGAAGGGTCGTTCTTCTCCAAGTTGTCTCTCTGCGACTTCACGGCGATCGACACCTTGGGTGTGGGTGGGTTTGGTCGCGTGGAATTGGTGAGGCTCGCAGACTCACCCACTCACTCACGGTCCCACCCACTCACCTACTCACTCACCTACTCACTCACCTGCTCACTCACCCACCCAGACACTCACCGACTTACTCACCCACTCACCAACCCACTCACTCACCCTCTCACTCACTCATGCACCCACTCTCTCACCTCACCCACTAACTCACCCAATCAGCAACCCACTCACACATCCACTTACTCACCCACCTATACACTCAGCCACTCACCAACTCATTTACTTGCTCACTGACTCACTCACCCACTCACCCACTCACTCATCCACCAACTCACCCACTCACTCACTCACTGACTCTCCCACCGACTCACCTACCCACCCACTCACTAACCCACTCACACACTCACCCACTCACTCACCTAATCACCCACTCACTCACTCACCCACTCACCAAACCACATCCCCACCCTCTCACCATCCCACCCACTCACCAATCCACCCACCCACCAACATACCCACTCACTTAACCACTCGCTCATCTACTCACTCACCCAATCACTTACCCACCCAGAAACTCACCTACTCACCCACTTACTCACTCACCCACTCACCACACCACCCGCCCACCGACTACACTCAACCACTCACGCATGCTTAGAGACTCTCTCACATGCACGCACATACACACACCATTAACCTCCTCCCTCCCTCCCTCTACTCCTCCACCTCCTCCTCCACCACGTCCATCAGGTGCAGCTGAAGAGCGATGTGAGCCGCACCTTTGCCATGAAGATCCTCAAGAAGCGGCACATCGTGGAGACCCGCCAGCAGGAGCACATCCGCTCGGAGAAGTCCATCATGAGCGATTCGCACTGCGGATTCATCGTGCGGTGCGCGGCCCACCCCTAGATCCGCTTCGACGAAAATCCCGGGGGGCCGTGTGGGATTTTGGGGGGTGGAGTGGAGGTGATGGTGGTGATGGGGGAGGTGATGGTGGTTATGGGGGAGATGGTGGTGGAAGTGGTGGTGCTGGTGGTGGTGATGGGGAAGGTGGTGGCAATGGTGGTGGTGGTAATGGGGGAGGTGATGGTGGAGTTGGTGGTGATGGGGGAAGTGATGGTGATGGTGGAGGTGGTGGTGGTAATGGGGGAGGTGATGGTTGAGGTGGTGGTGATGAGGGAGGTGGTGGTGGTGTTGGTTGATGTGGTGGCGCTGCTATTGGTGATAATAATGGTCATTATGGTGATGACGATGAGTCTGTGTAAGTCTGTGGGTCTTTGTGTGAGTCTGTGTGGGTCTCTGTGTGAGTTTGTGTGGGTTTCTTTGAGTGTATGTGAGTCTATGTGGGTCTCTGTGTGAGTCTATGTGCGTCTCTGTGTGAGTCTATGTGGGTCTCTGTGTGAGTCTGTGTGGGTCTCTATGTGAATCTGTGTGGTTCTGGGTGTGACTCTCTGACTATCTGTGTCCCTACAGACTCTACAGGACGTTCAGAGACAATAAGTATCTCTACATGCTGATGGAGGCATGCCTGGGTGGAGAGCTATGGACCATACTGAGAGACAGGTGAGGGGGTCGGTGAGTGACTAAGCGAGTGGATGTTTGGGTGGGTTAGTGGACTGGTGAATGAGTGGGTGGGTGGGTGAGTGAGTGAGTGAGTGCGTGGATGGGTGAATGAGTGGGTGGGTGAGTGACTGGGTGGGTGTATTTTGGGTGGGTTAGTGAGTGGGTAAGTGAGTCAGTGGGTGGATAAATAAGTTAGTAGGTGGGTGGGTGAGTGAGTGGGTCGGTGGATAAATAAGTTAGTAGGTGGTTGGGTGAGTGAGTAAGTGGGACTGTGAGTATATGTCTCTATGTATATATCTCGAGGTATACGTCTCTATGTGTGTGTGTCTCTATGTCTATGTGTGCGTCTCTCTATGTGTGTCTGTCCGTCTCCGTGTAGGGGCTCGTTTGATGACGCCACGACGCGCTTCTACACGGGCTGCGTGCTGGAGGCGTTTTCCTACCTCCACTCCAAGGGCATCATCTACCGAGACCTCAAGCCTGAGAACCTCATCCTGGACACGCGTGGATACACCAAGCTGGTACCTTTTGGCGTGTGCAGTGTGTAGTGTAGTGTGTAGTGTAGTGTAGTGTGTAGTGTAGTGTGTAATGATGTGTAGTGTGTAGTGTAGTGTATAGTGTAGTGTGTAGTGTGTAGTGATGTGTAGTGTGTAGTGTAGTGTATAGTAGTGTAGTGTGTAGTGCAGTGTTGAGTTTAGGTGCAGTGTATAGTTGTGTAGTGTATAGTGTAGTGTAGTGTGTAGTGTAGTCGTCCGGCAAAACATCCCCCTACCTCCTTGTGGTGCCGGATGGGCAATGCTGTCATGGGCAGTGTCGTGGAGAGAGGGCCAATTGGCCTTTCCCCTCATGGCATTTGTAAACAACAAAGCGGCTACATGGGGGCTCTGGACAGGTGCGAGGGGCTGGTAACCCTTCCACCTTGAATTAATTACCACTAAACCACGACCACAAAATTTAATAAATAAGCATGTGCCGGAGGCCCCGGAGGGACAGGCGTCTATGACGTCTCCTGGCCAAACCCCATTTGGCGGAGCCAGGAGACTGAATCCTTACCCTCGGGGTTCCTCCAGAAACAACAAAAAAACACTAAGTGTGGCCAGGTGGAATGTTAGAATGCTCACTGCGGAGGAGAGGCTGCCACTCCTCTGTCGGGAGCCGGACCGGTACTGCCTAGATATCTGTGGTATTCAGGAGGTCCGGTGGACCGGCTCTGGCTCCTGTCACCATGAGGAGAGACAGTCCTCCACTCGGGGCAGGAGACTGCCAAATAACAGGGTGTGGCTCTTCTTCTGAACAAAAGAGTGAAGGGGGCGTATGAGTGTGGCGGTGCGGTGGGGGAAGCTGTAAGCCCCAGGCTATTTGGGTTGGTCTTCCAATCAACTAGAGGCGAGGAGTAGTGGTCGTGGTTACTTATGCCTCCACTGAAAACGAACATCTGTGGAGGGATGCAGGCAAGGCCGATGAGTCAGATGCCTTCTATAACCTCCTGTCACAGGTGCTAACTAAAGTGGCCCCTCGGGATAAAAACATCTTGTTGGGTGACTTCAATGCCCGAGTTGGTCATGATGCTGCCACCTGGTCTGGAGTAATTGGAAGGCATGGGCCAGATCAGCTCAATAACAACGGCAGGAAGCTGCTAGATTTTTGTGCAGCCCATGGGCTTGTAATTACCAACACGCTGTTGCAGCATCGGCGCATCCACACTACATCATGGATGCATGCCGGGTCCAAGCAAGAACATCTGCTGGACTACATAGTGACGGAACAGCGGATACAGGCCCATGTCCTTGACACCAGGACCTACCGTGGAGTTGATCTGCCCACTGACCATCGACTTGTCATCTGTAAGATGCGCCTGCCATTCTTGCACTCCGGTGGTGGGTGTACACCCAGGACCCCATTCAAACCCTTAGTGGCATGGTCTCAGCTAGCTGATGAAAGTTGCAAGCGAGAATTTCATCATCACTTGAGGCTGGGGTTGGCATCGTCTTCCACTCCTCCTGATGTCGAGGGGAAATGGGCGAGGTTTAGAACTGTGGCTCATGCCGCTGCAATGGCTGCTTTGGGTACATGATCCAGACCTCCCCAGAGACCCTGGTTGACAGAGGAGGTGTTCAAGCTGGCTGAGAAAAAGCGACAGGCCCACTCTCATCGGCTACAGCATACAGAGAATGAGGAGGCTTACCACAGCCTTCGCTCAGAGGTACGGAGAGCCGTGAGGCACTGCAAGGATGGGTGGTGGTCGCGGGTTACTGAGGAGATGGAGTCTGCCTTAGTGGCCCGCAATCACAAATTGCTCTTTAATTCCATCAAAAAAGTAACTTGCAGCCCCTCACCTATTACCATCATTAGAGGAAAGAACGTTGATCCAATCTCCGACCCCCAGGTAAAGGTTTGCAGATTTGCTGAGCATTTTTGTGAGGTCTTGGGGGAGGGCAAATCCCTCAGCCAGGAAAACAACGTGGGACAAAGTGGGGATGTCCCTGCTTAGGCTGCGGTGCCTCAAACATTGGAGGAGGAAGTCACCCCCTATGAGTGGCTGGCTGAGGTGCCATCAGTTGAGGAAGCTACGAAGGCAATCCAGAGTCTGAGGCTAGGAAAGGCACCGGGCAGAGATGAACTCCTAAGCGAAATGCTGAGGGAGGGTGGCGTTTGTGCACAGACTGCCCTACATGACATCATAACAACAGTGTGGACCATTGAACGGGTTCTGCAGGATTGGAAGGATGCCCTAGTGGTCCCCCTCTTTTAAGAAGGGGGACCGCACAGACTGCAACAACTCCAGGGGCATCCCACTCTTCAGTGTGCCAGGAAAGGTCCTGGCAAGGATTATTCAACATCGCCTTGCTAGTCACGCTGCGGAGAAGCTTGCGGAGCCCCACTGCAGTTTCAGGAAAGGGTGGTCCTGCACAGATGCCATATTTTCTGACCGTCTGCTACAGCAGAGGTGTAGGGAATTCCAACAAGACCTACATATCTGCTTTATTGACCTGGTCAAGGCCTATGATACCATCAGTAGGCCTGGGCTCTGGGTTGTTCTCCGTGCTCTCGGAGTCCCTGACCCTCTGTTCACGATCATTAAGGACCTTCATGACGGTGAGCGGGCTGCAGGTAAAACTACGTGGCCGGGAGTCAGAGCCGATCCCTGCACACCTTGTGGTGCGACAGGGATGTCCTCTGGCTCCCACATTATTTAACATCTATTTTTATCACGTAGTTCGTGAAGCCTTCAATAGCTGTACCGGAGCAGTTTCCAATTGGTACAGATACAATGGGATGCTGATCGATGCCCGGGAACGGTCAAGGGATGGCTCCCTATTGCTCAACCACGTTATGTATGCCGATGATCTGGTTATTGCTGTTCACTCAAAGGAGGAGTTGGACGCGCTGCTGCTGAACCTGGAGCTTGCCACCAAGAAGTGGGGTCTTTCCATCAGCCCCACCAAAACTAAGCACCTGCCTGGGTATTTTGTACCATGGGACACTCCACCCCCATATCTCCCAATTGGTGATAGGGCAGTTGTGGAGAGAGTGGGTGTGTTCTCATGTCCGGCTTCGGTTTAACAGCAGAGGTCTTACTCCGAATCAGTCGAGTGGCACTATTTTTTCATCGGTTGCGTAACGCTGTGTGGAAGCTACCTGGTCTACCACTCCGTACAAAGCTTCAGGTCTTCTCGGCCTCGGTCATTCCCTCCCTTCTCTGCGCTTGCGAAACGTGGACCCCCCTAATGGAGCATCTTTATCGGTTAGAAACATTTAGGCTGGCCTGCCTCTGATCCATCCTGGGTTTAACCAGGCTGGATTGTGTGAGGAGCTCACAAATTCTTGAAAGATTTGGACAAAGTCCCGTCGGTGAGCTCCTCCGGCAGGCAAGGCTGCTTTGGCTGGGCCATGTAGCGCGCATGCCCAGCCACCGCATGCCTAAACAGCTTTTGTTCGGCCGGATCGAGGGAGCTAAATGGGCACGGCACGGGCTAGAGAGAGATGGAGTGATGTGGTACAGGCGGACTTGGAGCTGAGTGGACTTGCCGATGACTGGTTCCAGCGGTGTCAAGATCGGCCTCTGTGGAGGAGGCTCGTGAAGGACGCTACTGGGCAGTTGGAGGCAGTCGCGATCCAACAACAACGGAGGGCGGAGGAGTGACGCTCACAACAACGAGCGGAGCACCGGGTGGCTAAAGCACAGCAAGTTGGCAAAGTAGGGGGCACAGGTGGTGCATCAGCCAGTCGTCTTGGTCAGTTTACCTTTGGCATCTGGGTCTGCCCTCCTGCCAACGGGCATTTGACACTTCACATGGCCTCAATGTGCACATAGCCTGGCACAAGCATCGTGGTGACGTCACCGCCACTTAGTGGAAAATGGCGGTTGTTGTTGTAGTGTAGTGTATAGTATAGTGGGTAGTGGATAGTGTAGTGTATAGTGTGTAGTGTAGTGTGTAGTGTAGTTTATAGTGTAGTGGATAGTGTAGCACGTAGTCGTGTAGTGTGTGTGGTGTATAGTAGTGTATAGTGTAATGTGTAGTATAGTGTATAGTAGTGTAAGGGATCTGCGAGCCACCCTCACGCACAGGCACCACACAGACATGAAATCTCCACACTCAGTATAACACGCACCAATCACACGCACGGGAATACACTCGGCCAGGCTCAAGGTTTAAAGGGCACTGACGTCACCCGGACCTGGCGTGCGAGACGAGGATATGTATTGGGAACGAGGGTGGAGATGGAGGGGTTAAAAGGGGCTATGATCCGCGTGTTCGGGGTTGGTTTTGGAACCAGTGTGGCTGTGGGGTTAAGAATAAACCAGTGCGTTAACCAGTCTCCGACTCCTCTTCAGTAGTATAGTGTAGTACATAGTAGCGTAGTGTGTAGTGTAGTGAATGGTGTGATGTGTGTAGTCCAGGGGTCGGCAACCAAAATAACAAGAAGAGCCATTTCTTTCCAATTCGGTACAAAATTCAGTATTTCAAGAGCCGCAATGCTGTACTCACGTACATATCGTCAAGAAGCAGCCCGTAAAGAGCCGCATGCGGCTCCGGAGCCGTAGGTTGCCGACCCCTGGTGTAGTCTATAGTAGTGTATAGTAGCGTAGTGTATTGTAGTTCATAGGGCATAGTCTAGTGTGTGTAGTGTATAATGGAATATATAGTTTAGTGTATATTAGTGTAGTGTTCAGTGTAGTGTATTGCAGATTATAGTTTAGTATGTAGTGTATAGTGTACTGTGTGTAGTCTATAGTAGTGTGTAGTGAATAGTATCACCACTATCACCACTATCAATCACCCACTCCACCACCGATCAGACCACTCACCCACCCACGTACCCATCCACCCACTCACTCACCCGTCCACTCACCTACTCACCCACCCATTCACTAACCCACCCACGTACTCACCTACCCACTCACCCACTCACCCACTCACCCACCCACCCACGAACTCACCCACCCACTCACCCACTCACTCACTCACCCGCCCACTCACCCACTCACCCACTCACCAACGCACTCACCCACCCACCCACGCACTCACTCACCCACCCACCCATTCACCCACTCATCCACCCACCCACGCACTCACCCACTCACCCACCCATTCACGCACTCACTCACCCACCCACCCATTCACCCACTCATCCACCCACCCACCCACGCACTCACCCACCCACCCACTCACCCACTCACCCACCCACCCACGCACTCATCCACCCACTCACTCACCCGCTCACTCACCTACTCACCCACCCATTCACTAACCCACGTACCCACCCACCCACTCGTCCAGGTTGACTTTGGGTTCGCCAAGCGAATCGGCCTGGGCCGTAAGACTTGGACGTTCTGCGGCACTCCGGAGTACGTCGCCCCCGAGGTGATCCTCAACCGGGGCCACGACGTCTCCGCAGACTACTGGTCGCTCGGCATCCTCATGTACGAGCTGCTCACGGGCAGGTGAGTCTACAACCACCACCATCATCACCACCTGCACCACAACCTCCATCATCACCACCTGCACCACAATCTCCATCACCAGCTCCACCATCACCACCTCCACCATCACCCCCTCTACCAGCACCTCCACCATCACCACCTCCACCATCACCCCCTCCACAACCACCACCACCACCATCACCACCTCCACCATGACCACCTCCACCACCAGCTCCACCATCACCACCTCCACCATCACCCCCTCCACCAGCACCTCCACCATCACCACCTCCACCATCACCACCTCCATCACCACCTTCATCAACACCTCCACAAACACCACCTCCATCATCACTTCCACGACCACCATCACCTGTACCACCTCCACTACCCCCATAATCTCCACCACCTCTTCCACCACAACCTTTACTACCTCCACCATGAAGACAGATGTACACACCCAAGGATACACGCAGATACACACACACAACCACAGATATACACACCCACAAATACAAACGCACGTATATATACAAACACAGGTACACACACCGATACGCACAGATACACAATGACAAGCCCTTTATACACACACACTCTCTCTCTCTGTCCGTGTGGCAAACCCTGTTGTGTGGCTCGGACCCCATGGAGACTTACAGATACACACACATACACACACATACACACATACGTAGATACACACACACAGACACATACATACGTAGATACACGCAGACACATACATACACATACAGATACACACACACAACAACAACAACAACCGCCATTCGCCACTAAGTGGCGGTGACGTCACCACGACGCTTGTGCCAGGCCAAGTGCACCTTGAGGCCACGTGAAATGTCGAACGCCCGCTGGCAGGAGGTCACGGGGCAGACCCAGGTGCCACGGGTCGACTGACCGAGATGACCGAGATGACTGGCTGATGCACCACCTGTGCCCCCTACTGTACCAACTTGCTGTGCTTTAGCCACCCGGCGCTCCGCTCGTTGTTGTGAGCGTCGCTCCTCCGCCCTCCGTTGTTGTTGGAGGGCGACTGCCTCCAACTGCCCAGTAGCGTCCTTCACGAGCCTCCTCCACTGAGGCCGATCTTGACACCACTGGTACCAGTCATCGGCAAGTCCACTCAGCTCCACGTCCTCCTGTACCACGTCACTCCATCTCCTCTCCAGCCCGTGCCACGCCCGTTTAGCCCCCTCGATCCGGCCGAACAAAAGCTGTTTAGGCATGCAGTCAGAGCCGGCCCTAGACCTTTGGGGGCCCTAAGCAAAATTTGGTTGGAGGCCCCTTTGATGTATGATTTTTTTCACCCACGAGCTAGCAGTGACTCTAGGGGGCCCTCTGCTGGCCACGGGGCCCTTTGCAATTGCAAGGGTTGCTTAGTGGCTGGGCCGGCTCTGCATGCAGTGGCAGGGCATGCGGGCTACATGACCCAGCCAACGTAGCCTTGCCTGCCGGAGGAGCTCACTCATGGGACAATGTCCAGATCTTTCAAGGATATGTGAGCTCCTGACACAATCCAGCCTGGTTAAACCTAAGATGGATCGTAGGCAGGCTAGCCTAAATGTTTTTAATCGGCGAAGATGTTCCATTAGGGTGGTCCACGTTTCGCAAGCGTAGATAAGGGAGGGCATGATCGTGGCAGATACACACAGACAAAGATCCTCCGTATAGCCTGTAACAGACTGTTGGGTCAAGTGCTGTTAGCGAGCACCTACAAAGGCCAGAACGGCACACGAGGGGGTGGGTGACCAGTACCACACCCGCCCGCCCGCCGTTGTCTCCCCAGTGGCGATGTTTACTACACACCACACCAGGTACTCATAACACAGATACACACACACAGAGACACATACAGTCATAGATAAACACACACACAGATACACACACATAGATAAACACACACACAGTCACAACAACAACCGCTATTCGCCACTAAGTGGCGGTGACGTCACCACGACGCTTGTGCCAGGCCATGTGCACCTTGAGGCCACGTGAAGTGTCGAACGCCCGCTGGCAGGAGGTCACACACAGATACACACACACAGATACACACACACACAGATACACACAGATGAACACACACAGATACACACACACAGATACACACGCACACAGATACACACACACACATTCACTCTCTCTGTGTCCGTGCGTCAGCCCCCCGTTCTCTGGCGCGGACCCCATGAAGACTTACAACATCATCCTCAGGGGAATCGACATGGTGGAGTTCCCCAAACGCATCCCCAAGAACGCAGCCATCCTCATCAAGAAGCTCTGCCGGTACGGGGTAGGGGGGTGGGAAGGGGAGGTAGGGGCATGGGGGAGGGAGGGAGAGGTTGGGTGGGGGAGGGAGGGGGGTGGGGAGGGGGTGGGAAGTGGAAGTGGGGGCATGGGGGAGGGAGGGGAGTTGGGGAGGGAGGGGGAGAGGGAGGCGGGAGGGGGCGAGGGAGATCGAGGAGGCGAGGGAGGGAGCGAGGGAGGGGGCGAGGGAGGGGGGCGAGGGAGGGGGCGAGGGAGGGGGCGAGGGAGGGGGGGAGGGAGGGGGGCGAGGGAGGGGGCGAGGGAGGGGGCGAGGGAGGGGGCGAGGGAGGGGGGGAGGGAGGGGGGCGAGGGAGGGGGCGAGGGAGGGGGACGAGGGAGGGGGGCGAGGGAGGGGGCGAGGGAGGGGGGCGAGGGAGGGGGCGAGGGAGGGGGTGAGGGGGGGAGGGAGTTGGGGAGTGGATGGATGGGGGAGTGAGGGGGAGAGTGGGGGGATGGGGGGAGGGAGGGGGATTGGGGAGGGGATTGGGGAGGGGATTGGGGGAGGGAGGGAAGAGTGGGGGGGAGGTGGGAAGGGGAAGTGAGAAGTGGTGGGGATGGAGGCGGAATTGGGGGCGAAGGGTGGGGGAGGGGAGGTGAGTTGGACATCTGTGATAATGAGTTTTGTAGCTCATTGTATTTCTCCGGTGCAGATGCTGATTCTGATTGGGGGAGGACGTGGGAGTGGGTGGTGGCTAGTGGGGTAGTTGTGTGTACGTGCAAGAGGATGCTAGTCATCTAATTGTACCTCTGTGTGTACCTGTGTGTGTACCTGTCTGTGCACCTGTGTGTGTACCTGTGTGTGTACCTGTGAGTGTAGATGTGTAATAATCCTTCTGAGACGGCTTCGGAATCGGTCCTTTTTATTTCCACTTCCACAATACACTTTACTCACACACTCTGCGTTTCTGGCAGACAACAGAGAGCGGGCAGACTTCACACCAAGTTCCCACCGCGCACGTGGCACCCAGAGCCCCCGTACGCGCGTGGCTCTTGCTCTGCTCGTTCCCCAGTCTGCTCTCGATCGTTCTCTCCCTCTCTCTCTTAATCCCTCCGTCACGTGGTACCCCCCAGCCAATCCTCCGTAGACAGCATTGACCGTTCTCGATGGTTCCCTGTCAATCCCGGGACCACGCCTCTGATCCGGCTCCCCATTAGCTGGGGCCCCGAATGGCCAGGCCACTCCCCCCTGCTAACACGCCGCGATCACGCAGAGGCCATGTTCCCTGGCTCATCCCTTATTGGCTACAAAGCAGGACCGGCAAGCCAATCCCCACGTGAACCCTCTATGGCTGTTATTACAGATGTATGTGTACCTGTGCGTATTTGTATATGTGCCTGTGTGTGGGGAGCTGTAGTGTGGCGGTTAGCGCTATGCTGCACTACGAACCCGGCGACCCGAGTTCGATTCCCACTCACGGTCAACACCACCAGTGACGATTTTCTGAACCGGCCCTGGGCCTTCTATAGGTCGACTCAGCCTCAAATGAGTACCTGGTGCGGTGTGTAAAACATCACCACTAGGGAGACAAAGGCGGCCAGCTGTAGTGCTGGCCACCCACCCCTCATGTGGCGTTCCGGCCTTCATAGGTGCTCGCTAACAGCACTTGCCTTAGTCTATACGGGGGATCTTTATCTTTTGTAGAAGTGTGTGTATCTGTGTGTATCTTCACCTGTGTGTACGTGTGTGTGGCCTCAAGGTGCACATGGCCTGGCACAAGCGTCGTGGTGACGTCACCACCACTTAGTGGCGAATGGCGGTTGTTGTTGTTGTGTCTTTACTGGTGTGTGTGTGTCCACAGGGACAATCCCACGGAGAGGCTTGGGAACATGAAGAACGGAGTGAGGGACATTCAGAAACACAAGTGAGTGTCAGAGGCAGCCATAAGGCAGGTTGTTGGATCATACACGGACGGAGCCAAACTCCTTTTTCTTCTGCCCCGTGAGTGCGTGGGCATCTAGGAGGTGAACTACCCCCTGGCTCTAGCCAGAAGGCGGTACAGCAAGCTGTGTGAACTTTTCCCCATCTGTGCCATCTCACTTCGTGTGGACTATTCACCGTCTGTCCCATCTTACTCCCTTCAAAGTGTGCACTAATCCCCATCTGTCCCATCTCGCTTCCTTCAAAGTGTGTGGACTAATCCCCATCTGTCCCATCTCACTTCCTTCAAAGTGTGTGTATCTACGTGTCTTTCTGTGTATTTCTATGGGTCTCCATGTATCTCTATGTATATCTCTGTGTATCTCTATGAACAGGTGGTTTGAAGGCTTCAATTGGGAAGGTCTCAGGAAGGGCACTCTCACTCCCCCCATCATCCCCAAGGTGAGTCAAGGGCTATCCTGTACCTAGGAGATGTTAACTTCCTCGCCTGGTCTACAGGAGGTCGTGGGTTCGATCTCGACCCTGCCGATGCCTGCTGCTATATATTTGGAGTCTGCGTTTCTCTTCCCGTGGTGGTCACTGCATATATTTTTCTCCGGGTCCTCCTTTTTCTTTTTCCCCTCGACATTTAGAATGGACATCACCACGCATTTAGAGAGTGATTTGGCTGCTGCTATGAATGTCGACGTGATTATGATGATGGTGATGATATCAGCCATTTGCTTGAGCTGCTTTCATTTGTGATGGCTCAGGTTGCTTCTGATGAAATAGCTACGAAGCTTAGTGGGGCCTTACACCTGGTAACATAGAAAACAATGTTTTATACTCTTTCGTTCTTTCGGTAAAGTCACGTAGGCATAAAATAAAATAAATACATTAAATGTATTTTATTTTATACCTACGTGACTTTACCGAAAGAACAAAAGAGTATGGATCCCTGCATTCACGAGAACTTCAAATCTAAAAATGTTTTATCTATGGGAAAAGTATTCAAGTATGTGGCAATTAATCAGGAGTTCTGTTAAGATGTTCAAAGACCAAATAGATGAAACATTTTGCAAGGGCTAGCTACTAACATCACTTTCCCCAACAGTCTATCTGTTACAGCCTACACGGGAGATCGTTGTAGAGGGTGGGTCAGTGAGTGGGTGGGTGAGTGTGTGAGTAGGTGAGTAAATGAATGCGTGAGTGAATGAGTGGGTGGGTGAGTGAATGCGTGGGTGAGTGTGAATGAGTAAATGAATGGGTGAGTGAGTGGGTGAGTCACTGAGTGAGGGTGTCAGTGAATGGGTGAGTGAATGAGTGGGTGAGTAAGTAATTGAGTGGGTGAGTGAGTGGGTAAGTTAGTGAATGAGTGGGTGAGTAGTAATTGAGGGCGTGAGTGGGTGAGTGAGTGGGTGGGTGAGTGAGTGAATGGGTCAATGAGTGGGTGAGTAAGTGGGTGAGTGAGTGAGTGAATGAGTGGGTGAGTGAAGGAGTGGGTAAGTATGTGAATGAGTGGGTGAGTAGGTGAGTGGGCGAGTGGGTGAGTAAGTAATTGAGTGGGTGAGTGAGTGGGTGGGTGAGTGAGTGGGAGGGTGAGTGAGTGGGTGGATTATTGAGTAAGTGGGTGAGTGAGTGGGTGCAAATTCACTAACAGCAATGGCCCCAACAGTCTGTTAGGGGCTACACGGGAGGATCTGTTTCTGTACCCTTGTGTTTGTGTGTGTCCCACCTGTCCCCAGGTGAGCTCCCCCACGGACACGAGCAACTTCGACAGCTTCCCCGAGGACACAGAGAGCCCTCCCCCAGACGACGACTCGGGCTGGGACAAAGACTTCTGATGGCTCGCCACGCCGCCTGCCGCCGGTCGGGGTAGTGGCGGCGGTGACAGTGGCGGTAGCGGTGGTAGTGGCTGTGGTAATGGTAGTGGTGGTGACAGTGGTGGTAGTGGTGGTGGCAGTGGTAGTAGCTGTGGCAGTGGTGGTAGTGGCTTTGGTGGTAGAAGTGGTGGTGGTGGTGAAAGTGGTAGTGGCCGTGTTGGCAGTGGTGGTGGCAGTGGTGGTAGTGGTGGTGGTAGTGGTGGTGGTTGTGATGGTGCTGCTGGTGGGAGTGGTGGTGGTGGCAGTGGTGGTATCAGTGGTGGTGGTGGGGGTGTCTCGCGTGTATGAGGGGTGAGTGAACATAGGGGCAGTGCAGTACAACACCCGCCCCCACCCTATCTCTCTCGTCGGTGTGTTGGGCGAGTTGGTTATGGCTCGATCGTGTGAACATTTGTAGCAACTCAACAGTTACCAAAGCTGTAAGACGGTGCTGTGTGTCGTGGGTCGGACGAGTGAATGGCTCGTGAGGCTCAGAGGAGCCGTTGAAGCCCTCCTGGCCCTTAGCATAGGGAGGTTGTGAAGTTCACGATGGCCGTGTCGGTGAGGTTCAAGATGGCCGTGTCGGTGAGGTTCAAGATGGCCGTGTCGGTGAGTTTCACAATGGCCGTGTCGGTGAGTTTCACAATTGCCGTGTCGGTGAGGTTCACAATGGCCGTGTCGGTGAGGTTCACAATGGCCGTGTCAGTGAGGTTCACAATGGCCGTGTCAGTGAGGTTCACAATGGCCAAGTCGGTGAGGTTCACGATGGCCGTGTCGGTGAGGTTCACAATGGGGCAAGTGTTGTTAGCGAGCACCTATGGAGGCCGGCACTGTGGTACACGAGGGGGTGGGTGACCAGCACCACGCCCACCCGGCCGCCTTTGTCTCCCCAGTGGCGATGTTTACTGCACAACGCACCAGGTACTCATTTGAGGCTGAGCCGACATAGGGGAGGCCCAGGACCGGTTCAGATAATCGTCACTTATTGTTGGTGGCCGTGAGCGGGAATCGAACTCGGGTTTCCGAGTTCGTAGTGCAGCGTAGCGCTAACTGCTCCCGCCACCGCTCCCGTCCACACACAGACACATGCGCGCGCGAGAGTACGTTTTTTCAGTTTTCAGTTTTAAGTTTCATTTATTAGGTATAACCCTGTGAGCCATGCGGCTCTTGACTCGGGTGCAACCGCAACAAAACAAAAACATGAACAAGAAACATCTTGAAGTGGCTACACGCAACGGAAAAGTAATCGGTCACCTCTAAAACCAACGATGCAGACCACCTTGCTCCTCACCACCCCCAATGCGATCGCCGATAAGACGAGTGAGAGTTGTGAGTGTGCGTTCGTCACGCGTAAACTAATTCGGATCATCGCCACCGCATCAGCATCAACAGCAGCTGTAGAAGCGGAAGTAGCAGCAGCAACAGCTGTAGCATCAACAGCAGATGTAGAAGCAGAAGTAGCAGCAACAGCTGTAGCAGCATCAGCAGCTGTAGAAGCGGAAGTAGCAGCAACAGCTGTAGCAGCAGCAGCAGCTGTAGAAGCAGAAGAAGTAGCAGCAACAGCTGTAGCAGCAGCAGCAGCATCTGTAGAAGCAGAAGTAGCAGCAACAGCTGTAGCAGCAGCAGCATCTGTAGAAGCGGAAGTAGCAGCAACAGCTGTAGCAGCAGCAGCTATAGAAGCAGAAGTAGCAGCAACAGCTGTAGCATCAGCAGCAGCTATAGAAGCAGAAGTAGCAGCAGCGTGCAACATAATCGTGAACGACTGCCCCAAATCGGATCATTCAGATCGACGATATGAAACAAATCAATTCGGCTACTCCTGAAGCTGTAGCAGTTAAAGCATCAGTTGCAGCAGAAGTAGCAGCTGTAGCAGCAGAAGTAGTTGCAACGGTAGCTGTAACATCAGCTGTAGCAGCAGCAGAAGTAGCAGCATGAGCAGCCGAAGTAGCTGCAACAGCATGAGCATCAGCAGCAGAAGCAGGATTTAGCATCAACCATAGCATCAGCTGTAGCAGCAGCAGAAGTAGCAGTTGAAGCATCAGCTTTAGCAGCAGCAGAAGTATCAGCAGTGACAGCAGTTGCAGCAGAAGCAACAACACTAGTAGCAGCTGCTGTTGGGGTGCGATTGTACGACGTTTCGGGGGGGGAGCGGGGATGTGTGTGGGTAGTGGGCTGAGCCGTCCGCTATCGACGCCTCTGATGGCGCTTCTTGTTGCTGGCCGCTCGCCATTCTTTGGAAGTGGGGAGGGGGGAGACTGGGCACGCTGCTGCTGTTGTAGGATAAATGAATGAAGGAACGAATCATTTTAGAAAAATGTGTGGGCGCTCCTGAAGAATCTCCCGGCAGGTGGAGCAGAACGTCGGACATCAACGGCACGTGGGAGAAAATGACGTGAAACTCACCGCGTTCACTATCAATAGCTGCCTTCTCTCTCATCTCTCTCTCTCCTGACTTCTCTTCCCCTCTCAACCTCTCCTCCCTCTCTCTCCCTCCTCTATTTCCTCGCTCTCCCTCTCTTCATTCCCCCCTCCTCTCCCCATTTCCCTCGTCCACCTATCTTCCTCTCTCAATCTTCTCTGTCTTGACCTGTCCCTCTCTTGTCTCTCTCCTCTCTCCTGACCCCTCTTCCTCTTTCCCTCTCTTCATTCTCCCCTCCTCTCCTCGCCCTCGTCCCACTCTCTCCCTCTCTCTTTTTTTTACGATCAATCTTATCTACCTTGACCTCTCGCTCCCTCATCCCCTCTCTCTTTTGTTGTTGTTGTGTTTTTTGTTTTTTTGTGTGCATCCCCTCTCTCGTCCATCTCACTCCGTCTCTTTCCTCCCTCTCCTCCTATCTCCCCATTTCTCTCATCGTCATCATCTCTCTCCTCCACCACCTCTTTCTCTCACTCGCTCTCTCACTCCTCCTTATCTCTCGTCCCTCTCTCTTCCCTCTACCCCTCTGCTATCTTTCGTCCCCTTTCATCCTTGTCTCTCCCCCCCCTCTCACTCGCTATCTCTCCACCTTATCTCGCTCTCTCGTCTCTCTAGTCCTCTCTCCTCTCACTCCTTATCTCACGTACCTCTCTATACCCCTATCTCTCTCACTCATCTCCCCCCTCTCACTCCTATCTCCTCGATCTCTCTGGCTCCTCCCTTTCTCTTGTCCCTCTTTTTCTCTCTCCCTCTCTCTCCCAACCGGCTCTTATCTCCCTTGTGGGGTGCAAAAAGTGCCTTATGTAATCTGCATGAAACGTAACACAAACCGCCGGGTGAACGCAACTCCACACACACACAAAAAATGATACATAGAGACAAAGTTCCCCCGTATAGCCTTTAGCAGACTATTGGGGGCAAGTGCTGTTAGCGAGTAGCATCTGTGAAGGCCTGCACGGCACACGAGGGGGTGGGTGGCCAACCCCACCCCTGGCCGCCTTTGTCTCCCTAGTGGCAATATTTTTACACATAGTACCAGGTACTCAATTGAGGCAGAGTCGACCTAGGAGAGGCCTAGGACCGGCTCAAATAATCGTAACTGGTGTTGGCCTTGAGCGAGAATCGAACTCGGGATGCCTGGTTCATAGCGCAGTGTAGCACTAACCGCTACACTACCGCTCCCCACACACACTACACACAACACGTAGGTCCACGCGGCCGCCATGATGCCGTGAGGTGTTTCTGGCGACGGTTCGGTAGTTGCCATTGTTGAGTCCGCGTCAAGTTGTTGTGCGCGATGGGTGGGGCGGGGTGGGGGTGGGGCGAGGTGAGGGGGCGGGGCGAGGCGAGGAAGGCGGGGCGAGGGGGCCATCGTCACAAAGGAGAGGGGGGGGGCGCTGCTGCGTGACAGAACTTGTCCCGTGGAGACAAAAAAAAGATGGAGGTTTTTTTTCGTCGTTTTTGTTGTTTGTACCCCGTGCGTGAAGCCGACGGTGCACACCAATGGGAAGCGATGCCAAGCAAAGTGAACGACCTAATGGGCTCATGATGGGTTTGAGCATGCTATCAAATAAACTAAACAATGTTTTTATTTTTTTACCAGGTAAGGCCCCACTGAACTATATAGCCGTTTTTCAGCTCAACGAAGTGGCTTATAATCACTTGGACATTTATAACAGAAGATAAATACTCTAAACGCGTGATATTGATTATACAAACTCAGAGACCCATACTTATAGAGACCGTAAATCATAGAGGCCCATACAAATGCAGAGACCCAAGATTGTTTGCATGTTTGCCACAAGTATCTGTGCAGACTTAAACGAAACAAAAAAACGAAACCATTTTTTATTTTACCAGGTAAGACTCACCGAGCAAAATTGCTTTTTTCATAAGCGACTTGGCAATCACAAACGATAGCAGCTCAACAAAGTGGCTGCTTTTCATCATCATGTGGACATTTATAAGCGGCAGCCAACTAATCTCTGAATGCATGACCTTCATTCTAAATGTGGAGGGACAAACCGGAAAACCGCATGCCGAACCTACTTCCCGTTATCATAAATCCATCCCCGCACACTTCACGGGCTCGTTCTATCGCTTCTGCAGCGCCGCTGTGTTTCCCAGCAGACACAGAATACGGTGGTTTTATTTCCGCGGTAGGGGAGGCCACCCACTGCAGGCTTCTGCGTACGATTCCAAGAACCTCGCCAATCAACAGCGGAAGGGGAACTTTGGGACGATTTTCGTTTCATTCGCGAAATTTGTGCAGTAAAAGGATCCCATCGACGGGATCGACGGCGTCAGAGTGTGACGTCGCTAAGATGGTGGAATAGCATGTGGCACGTGGGGGTGGCATCACTTAGCAAAGCAGTCGTCCCCCCCCCCCACCGAGGCACCAGTCGGCCTCTATCATTCTGCCGATTTTTGGAAATTCTCGAAATATCGTTAAAACACCCCATCGACGCGCTCGTTGGCGTGGGAGTATGACGTCCCTAAGATGGCGGAGTGTCACGTGGCACGTGGGGTGGCGTTACTTAACAGAACAGTCCTCTTCCCCACCAAGGCACCAGTCGGCCTCTGTGGGAACCCCCCATTCCCTCTTCCCTCACTCACTGCCGCTCGCCTTTCTCTTATCTCTTACTTATTTCTTTGTCTCTCTCTCCCACGATCGATTCCCGGGCTATCAGTATTCACGCAATGATTAGTATTAACATCATCCTTATTGTTATTATTGCAGAATTGTGTTGATTTGTATCTGTCTCGTTTAATTTATATTCGTTTGGTCGTAAAAGGGGGAAACCCTGATTATTATGATTATTATAAAGATTCTTCTTCTTGAGGGAATAAATCGCGAGATGTTTAAAGCAGATTTCCTAAGTGTACTTTTTTACACATCGGTTTCAAATTAAGGGTTAAGGCGTTGAAGTCTGTCTCTCCGTCCATCTGTAAGTAACCAAATAAACTAGCCTTTTAAACTACGTTTTTAATTGACCAGGTACTGGCCTATGTAGCTCTTTTTCAAAAGCGACCTGGCATTCACAAATGATATCAGTTCACCGAAGTGGCTGATATCATTATCACGTGGAAATTGCAGACGCATAGAGACCCACAGAGATACATAGAGACCCGTAGGAATACGTAGAGACCCATAGACTGAACAAGAAAATAAACTAAGCTAAGGCCCCACTCAGCGATGTAGTGGCTCTTTTTCAGAAGTGACCTGTCTATCACAAATGATAGAAGCACAACGAATTAGCTGATAGCATCATCACATGGGTATAGTTGTCATATAATATAAACAGTGGCGGCTCCTGCAAAATCTCTCAGGGGGGGCAAATGTCTGAATGATTGATAAGGATAAGGTCCACCCATGCAATGGACAAATTAACAGCTTAAGCATGTAAAGGCAACTTCACTTCTTTAATATTAATGTAAAATAATGTGACTCTTACAATACATCTTGTTTGTTTCTATACTAACTATTAATACAATCCACTCAAGTTTATTTTATTAAAGATTCCACTAGGTGGCGACAAATTATATGGTTGGATGAAACGTGCTTACGTATGATGACGTAAGCACGTTAGGGCGAGCCCTCCCGGAAGCCATAGAGAATGCATTGCAGTGCCCCTCGTTCGAAAAAAAACATCTTTGAATATAAGTCTATGGGGCCACTCGGGGCGATTCTCAGCCGAAGTGAAATCACCCAAAAAGAGGCGGTACTCCACAGAACGTGACATGACTATATCCAGAGGCACAGTGACGGCTAGCGTGACTCTGTGGTTGAATGACATTGGTGGTGCGTCGCCCAATCGCCCTAATGAAGAAACCGCCCCTGAATATAAATACTCTAAACGCATGTTACTAAATGAAGGCCGGCACGGTGCGCTGTAGTGTCGGAGGGCAGCACCACAGCTGGCTCCCTTTGACTCCCCAGTGCTGATGTTATACACTGAACAAAACTATTTAGATTTTACCAGGTAAGGCCCACTATTAAGCTATGTTACTCTTTTTCAGAAGCCACATGGCACACATGACAGCAGCTTATCATCAAGTGGAAACTAGAAACGCATAGAAGACCCATAGCGATACATAGAGACCCAAAGAGATCCATAGACGAAACTAAAACTAATAAAAAAAATTGTATTGGTCCAGGTCAAGCCCCACTGGGCTATGTAGCTCTTTTTCAGAAGGGACTTGGCCGCATGTAATAATAACTCAACTAAGTGCCTTATCACGTGAATATGTATAGCAGCAGTCAAATCTCTCTAAAACGCGTGATGTTCATTCAAAATGTGGAGGGGAAAACCGGAGGACTGGGAGAGAAAAATCCACGAGACCGCAGGGAGAGAGAGACCCAAACTCCAAATATACAGCAGGTGTCCGGATCGCGATCGAACCCACTACCGCCTGCATAACAGGCGAGATCGTTAACATTTCCTATCCACGGTGGTATTCGATGTAGAATAGGAACCTTCTCTAGCAGCAGCTAATATGTAGGAGCAGCAGCTTGTTCAAAATATACAGCAGGTGTCAGGGTCACAATCGAACCTACAATCTTCTGCACACCAGGCGAGGGAGATAACATCTCACCACCGTGTCGCCAAGTGGGGGGGGGGGGGGGTATAACTCTCGTTTATGTTTTTTTTCCCGATCTTAATGTAACTTTAACGTTACATTGTGTGTCGCTATCAGGGACTCGCCCTATTGAAAATAAGAGTCATCCTCTCACACACACTAACACACCCTCGGTAGCAGCAGCAGCGGCTTTTAGCTCAAACATCGAAAAGAGACGGGGGTCACCCCATCATCATCACGTGGCGATTTCAAATATACTTCTGCGGTTGTCTGGAACGCTCCTTCCGATATTAGGAAATCACTGGGAGCTATGCACTTTTAAATCATCATCTAGATTGAAAACTCATTTCTTTAAAAACTGCTTGTTGTTGTGTTTTGTTTTTTGCCCTTCCCCTGCACCATAGATTCGCACGGTTGCCTATGTACGGTGTGAAATCAGTTCAACATACACACAAAAGATACAGACAGAGATCCCCCGTGTAGACGTAACCAACTGTTGGGGCAAGTGCTGTTAGCGAGCACCTATGAAGGCCGGCACTGTGGGACACGAGGGGGTGGGTGACCAGCACCACGCCCACCCGGCCGCCTTTGTCTCTCCAGTGGCAAGTTTTACTACAGACCGCATCAGGCACTTAATTGGAGCTGAGTCGGCCTAGTTGAGGCCCAGGAGCAGTTCATATAATCGTCACTGGTGTTGACCGTGATTGAACTCAGGTGAGCGGGTTCGTAGTGCGACGCGCTAACCGCTACAAATATACAAAGATCCTCCATATAGACATGAACAGACTGTTAAGGCAAGTGCTGTTAGTGAGTACATATGAAGGCCGGAACGGTAAACGAGGGGGTGGGTGGCCAGCACCACGCCCGACCACCTTTGTCTCCCTAGTGGCAATGTTTACACACCGCACCAGGTACTCATTTGAGGCTGAGTCGACCTAAGGGAGGCCCGGGACCGGTTCAGATAATTGTCAGAAGAGGCGGAGAACGTAAAAACTCGACGGAGAACCGTTTACCCGAGGTCACGAATCGAACCCAGGCGCTTCAACCTGCGAGGCACAAGCGCGTCACACCACCGACCAAACTACATTGGCGCATAACCCCTAGAATGGCAGAACGATCGTCTCGTTCTTCCGCTGCAAGTTTCACGTTCGCTGTGAATCGACTCCATTGAGCTCATTGGATTTGCCTCTTGCTCAACAATTGCCGTCTCGGTTTTGCGTTCATTTGGCTTGGTTACACGGATGGTTCGTTCGATCAATTGCCCCCCCCCCCCCCCCGCAGCAAAAAACACAAAAGACAACAAAAAATATAATAAAATATCCCAGTTAACGTGGATCAACGTGGAGAGGACCACCAGGTTGGTAGAGGCGTTATGGTTGGTGATGGTGGTTGTGATGGTCTCGACATAGCCACCGTACCAAACACATGTAGTAGAGTTACCCACTCGATATTCACAAACAGGGAGAGCTAATCGTTGACAAGGGTTTCCCGCTCAAACTAACGGTCAGGGTCTCACAAGTTGTGAGAGCTGACCGTTAACAAGGTTTTCCCGCGCGACCTAACGGTCAGGGTCAGATAGGGTAAATTGGGATCGAAAAGCAGATTGGGAACGACCAATCACAGGGTTCCACAAGGTGGCCGGGGATTGGACAACCCGGCCACGAACGAGTATAAAGCCAGAACGCTCAGAGCTCTCGGGGAGTCCGACGACACGAAGAC